AAAATATATATATATATATATATATATATATATATATATATATATATATATATATATATATATATATATATATATATATATATATAATGACAGACATTTTCTGAGATAACTTTTATAAACTTTTATTTTGAATGCGATTACTGGCCCAGCACTAGCGTTAATGAATCCCGGGTTGTATATAAAGAATCCCAAATGAGGGGTGACATTTAAGTGAAAAAAATTGTAAACTATTATATTTGTAATTTTGTTACTTAAAACGGGGGAAAGTACAAAAAACGGCTAAATTAAGCATAAAGAAAACATTTAAAAAAAGAACCACACAAACGTGCACATAATAAAAGTCCCAAAATAATAAGTTAATGTCTTTGCTTTTGTCATATGAACCTCATTTACGCACATTATTTTACCTAAAAATGGGAAAAGGGCACGAAAAGAGCTAAATAAACTTTTTAATAATTATAAATAAATAAATAATACATATTACAAACATGATCCAAACAAACATGCAAACAATAAAAGTCCTCCTGACTGCTATTTAATTTATAAACAGCTAAATCTAATAATTAACGTATTACCAGAGAAAACCGAGAACACGTGCTGTGTGTTTATATATATATGTATCTGTGTGTGACAGGTGTGCACAGGTAAACTGATCACAGACCTGTTCTCTGATGCGCAGCGCCATCTTTTTCCTCCTTCAGGGAACTCATGCGGAACTGAAGCCACTAAACTGCCGCAAAGTTCCGACAGCAAAGACTCAAAGTCCTGCTTTACATGTCGGTGTTTGGTTGGGCTTGAGTTGCCTCTGCTCGTCCTGAAATAGACAAACAACTGCAAAAATATCCAACAACTAAGGCACAAAGGCTGAAGTTTACTGTTCTAGAGCCTCCACTCTGAGGGAAAGCGGCTCTCACTGCAGTTACAGCGCTGACACCGATAGAGGGCGCCGATGGAAAAGCACCATGGATATCTATGGAGAAGCACAAGTTAATCGCATGGAAATTATTTTTAAACCTGTTATTTTTTTATTCTTGTCATAAACTTGTCAGTAAAAAAATTACTTTTTAAAAAATTAATTAATGGTTGTTTAATCAAGTATTAAAACCTACAAATGCAAAACTGAATCA